CCCACATAGGAGTGATTTGCATGAACAACTGATGCTGCGACACTGATGCTTAGGAATTGTTGCGTGCGTGTTTTTGTCAAATAAGTTTGTGTTGCCAGCATTGACGTGCTTTAGATTGCTTAAGATAAATGTTATGCTTCACTTTACACATGCAATCCTTGTGCCTAGTGGCCTTTGCCAACCCGTCAACGTTTTGCCACAACAAATATTTTGCAGGCGTTCTTTAAACCATGCAAACATTTATTTACGAGATGTTTGGTGATACCCTTTTCACACGTTCTTTTACCATACGCACTTTTCGCGTGCGTATTACGCACATGTGTTGGCTAAGATCTGTGCATGAATTTGCTTAATCCATAACTCCATTTTCCAAGCGCAGTTTTGTCCTAAAATTATTGCCTTGGTGGTGATCGATAATCCAACGTTAGTGTTGCCTGCAGCAGCAACACAGGGCTGGCGATCAGTGCCTGCTGGTTCGTACTGTTGTGGCTTAATTCCAAACTTCTGCAATTAAGCTATAATTTCAGCCTGGAGATGAGTGGCGATGCCCTATGCATACATGCTACTGAGTATGGGGATTCCCTCATTCCAAGGCATGCTCCTTGCACGACGACGGAGCCGCTCGCTGACACCATACCGGCGACGCCGGCAGTCCATCTGACCAGGCCCGCCCTCCCATCCATTGCACCCCGCTGTGTCTGACACCTGCCGGACCCTGGCCCTCGCTTCTGCCGGCGCTGACCCACCCTGTGCCCTTCCTGTTCGCAGGAGCGACAGGAGTCGTCAATAATTTGGAGGGGGGGGGGGGGGTCAGAAGCATTTTAAGTGTTTCATTCCATGTACCGTTGCAAGCCTAGTGCTTAATTGTCACAGTTGTTGGGAGGTGAGCTCGATCACCGAAGCCTTCCTCCAAATAATGTGATCGTTCCCTCTCCCATGCTTGGTAACATTGTCCCAGCCCCGGCGTCCTGGTTGTTACGCTGGCGGCTGGTGGCCGGGGGGCGTCGGGCCCGTTCCGGTGCGCGGCTCGGGAAGGGTGGCTGCATTCCCCAGATAGGTTGGCACGTAGGGAGGACGGCTCCTGGAAGCGTTTGCATTCGTGTGCTGGGCGCACCGGTGACTGTGCGTTGTGCGAAATCATTTCCGTTTCGTGCATTGCGCTTGCGTGCGGCAGGATTCCTTTTAATTTATTTGATGTGTTAGATATGACCGGTACACTCGCGGGGCTGTGCTGTGCCCGTGCAGGGTGCCGTGCACCCTCGTTGAATAGAGGGACGAAAATTCCTCCAGTAAGACCCTCCCCACCCAGTGGCGTGGAAACTCCCTCCCCAAGTCAAATGAATCTCCATTAAATGAAGTCGCTTCCCGTGAAGGTGTAGAGCGTCATGTGAGGCTTATTCTATATGGATACGAACCGCCCCCCCCCCCCCCGCTCATTGGAAAGGTCTTAGACGAGGCCCTGGGCCTGCATGACTTCTTTCATATGCGGCAATACATTTGCGACATCTCATCGCCTGCTTCTCCTGATGTGCTTGCTTGCAATATGCGAGCGACGCGCTATTAGTATCTTTCAGTTTACGCCCCTTTTGCGTGTTTTTCCGGCAGGATGAGGTTTGCTATTATGGGGAAGGGGTGGGCATCAGCTCCAACGCTTGGTTAGGTGGAGAAAATGCTTTACTGTTATACTCCTGAGATGCTGTTGAGAACTGCGTCTGCTCCGCTCTGGAACGCTGCTTGAGGACTGCTCCTGGTCGCCCGGAAACAGTACGTCTGCCAGCAAGCTGGCACAGCAATGAGACGCTTCCCTCAAATACAGATGGTGGCTTCAGAATCATCATGCTTGGGAAAGGAAGTATTGGACCATATGGGTTTGTAATGTCAGCTCGCACTTAATGTACAATTCTGCCAACATTTACAGCGAGGGTTTCCTTACCACGATTATTGGTAATTTCACAAGATTAACATGACGAAGACAACCCCATTTTATATATTCCATTTCTCTGAACACCTTCCCGGGTAAATATAGCAGACCGAGTTTTTGAATTGTGACTTGGGAAAGAGGTGGCAGAACTCTTTTTGAAAGTGGGTTGGCAGTGTTTTCGCGGAGCTCGCTGTTTATTATTTATTTCAGCCATGTTTAACAAGTGCACCTATTAATCAATGATGACTGCTTTTATTGCCATCAGCCGCAGGCCATTCATTGTGGGGGCAAAGAGGGAGTGCCGAAAACGACCCAAACTCATCCTTTAATGAGTGAGTGGATCGGACAATAACCGCTCTAAAAAGTGATCTACGGGTGCACTATCGCTTTCCCATATAGACAGCTTTCCCATATAAACTGCTGCACTCCAGTCTAATAGCGCGTGATAAGCCTGTTAGCATCATCGTGGCGAAATAAAATACAACGCACCATTTCTTTCTCATAAAATATAATCGTTTCGCTTGATTACCTCATAAACAGCACCATTAAGAGTTTCATACCGTTGTTGTGACCGCAAGAAGACAGAACCCAAGTCGGCTTTCGTGCAAGTACTCCGTGTAAGCACCCTCTCGCTAAGTTTTTCCATACATGTGCTCCGAGAGAGTGCATGTGCAGTGCATTTCTGGACTGCTGTTCGACATAGATGTTCTCATTATTTCGACCTCAGCAAACGATTGAACAAAATATCAGTACTTTCAGTATCAAAATAGGATAACATGAATAATCACCCACACTCAGGCCGTTGGGCACCGGTTTGAGGTACTGAATATCGACATTTTCAGGTGCCTGTGCATCCTGTGCAGCACACTGCGCTACGTTGCCTCCCGCAACAAAAGGGAACGACACCAGGAAAATGGTTTCGGCGGGAGACTGTGACGACGGCAGGAAACATCGCGCTGACAACGGTGGCAGCGGCAACACCTAAATCTGCTGAATGGTTTAGTGATCGGGCATGATAACAGGGAAGTGTATGTTCTGTGCAAGGGATGCTGTTGTCGAGGCAACTTCGGTCAAATACGTGGTGAATGAACTTTGACCTGGCTTGTCATCGGTGATGTGAAGCAGTCTGCCTGGAATTGCGGCGGTCGATCAATCAGATGAAACTTGAAATGGTAGGTCGGTAAAGCCCAGCTGGGGCCCATCTGGGGTGGCTAAAAAGTTTCCATGTGGGATAGCTATATGGATCCCATCTGGGCTGGTCACATGGGTCCCAGCTGGACTGGCTCGTATGGGTCCCAACTGAGCTACCCAGGCGGGTCCCAACTGGGCTGCCCAGGTGGGTCGCATCTGGGCTGCCCAGGTGGGTCCCATGTGTGCCCCAGCTAAGCCTCACAGGGGCCCCACATTGGTTTCCATGTGGGGCCCAGTTGGTCGTCCATGACCTGCCCGCATGGGCCCGAGGTAGCATATCCAGGTGGGCCCTATTCGGTTGCCCATCTCGGACCCACATGGGTCCCAGTTGTAAACCTTGGATGAGCCCCACGTGTGCCCCAGTTAGGCCCCACACGGGCCCAACAAGGGTTACCCATGTGGGACCCAGGTGTTTGCCCATGACAAGCCCACATGGGACCGAAGTGAACAGCCCAGGTGGGCCCCATATGACTGTCCAACTGGGACCCATATGGGTCCCGACTGGACATGCTGGCTGGGTTCTGATCGGCACGTGAAGGCGGCCTTTTAGAGGCCACCATAGCGCGCCGATGACGCTGTTATATGGCGGTCATGGGAGGCGGCACACATTTTGGTTGTGGGGAACGGGGACGGGGTTAGCCATGACGGACTTAGGTCACCTCCATATTCCAGAGCTTTTCCCTTTAAACTTACAAATCGTTGCGTGTGTTATGGCGCTAGGAGTGTGAAGTTTATTAGATCGTTTATGCGCTCAGCTGTTACGATTTGTATCGCGTGGTGAGAGCAGCCATGACTTTTTGTTAAGAGTGGTACGAGACGCCACTACGCAGAAAGATAAAAAAGATAGTCTTTGTGTTATGACCGTCTTTTACCCGCCTTTTTCGCTTTTTGTATTATTCCAACCAAAAACGGGGGGCCAAGCCAACATTGGGGACTCAACCTGGGGGGGGGGGGGGGGCAACTCAACATCGGGGGCCAGAACCCTCACAAAAGAATACAAATCGACACTCGTGGATTCAGCAGCGCTGTCGCGTTCAAATACTCCACCAGCTATGTGCAAGCTGCCTTTTCTAAGATCTTACAGAGCACACTGAGTAGAGATGTGGGCCTTTTACCGGACAGCACGGCCGGATCAGCAGACTTCGGAACTGGCGCAACGCATGCCGTCTTCCAGCTATCTGAGCAAATTTTGGCCACGGGAGACAAGTTGAGTTTTAAAAGATGAGCACCGACGACCGAAAAAAGATTCCCGCACAGCCTGAAGTGGGATCTCTTCCAGGCCCACCGTCCACGATGTAATCATGCGCTGAACACACCGTGGCAGCTCTGGTAGCGTCGCAGGTCGGAACGAGAAGCCAGCAGTGCAGACTGGACGGCCTGGAGTTTGTGGAGCCGGCGTTCACTGCGCTCCGCAGTTTGGCTGCGATGCGGTGCCCCACGGCAGGAAGGTCCGCTGTCACATCGCCGCCCTCGGGGCTCACTGCAAACTCGGCTCCGACCGGCGTCGAAGCTGCCATGAAAAACCTCTTGAAGGTAGGTGAGAATCCGCAGAGGCCACCGTGCACCATCTCATGGCGACGGGAGGCGCTCACGCTTTCTCTCCATGTTGACAGGATGGCAGCAAATCCTGGCATCATCGTGAGTCGGTTCGTGACGTCACAAATCACGTGACTGCGGTCACATGACATTACGCAAGGCGAATACTGGGCCGTGATTGGTGTTGACGACAGATCGAGCGCGGACTGTTTGTACTCTTGCGAGAATGGCGTTTACCTCAAACACATTCATTTGCTGTGCTTTATGACGCGTGTGTTTCGTGCTGCGGCGCGGCGCTCAGGGTTTACGCGCGGAATTGTTTTGACGTACATTTTCGTATTTTTATGTTTATTAACGTCGAATCGTGGGAACAGTGTGAACGGATTTCGTTTTACACGGCTACTGTGATAAGACACTCAAGTATTGGCCAATTTGTTAGACTACTTTCACTGCCACACTGTAAGAAATGGGTTTATTGTTCAATTTTATCATGAATAGAATGGGAACGAGTGGACTGAGCTTTGTACAGATGTCCATACCTTACAGCATAATCTGCGTGTACCGAGTGTCTGAAAGTGAAAGGATTTGAACAGAAAATAATATTCAAGTGACAACAATTATGTCTGAGCCTTGCTTTCACACTTTTACACAAATCAAGATTGAGCATGCTTTCCTTGCCCCACTATTTTGCAGTCTGAGTCTGAACATTGCAGCAAAATTTCATGTCACCAGTAAAGAACCAGGAGGATCTGTTTAGAACTTCTGAGATGCCAAAACTTCCAGAAAATGATGACATAGTTTTGAAATAATTGTTGGGACTTTCACAGTTCATTGTGTTAAATTGCTGAAAATCAACACTAGTCAAGTCCATATTTTTGGCACACTTAACTCACTTTACATCTGTGAAATAGTGTAAAATGATAGCATAGTGTGAACAGCTGGCTGTAGTACCATTGTTTTAAATACATTTGTCTTTGCAAACATTCTTGAAGTGGCATGTGACAATGGCATGTGGGTAAGGTCTGAGCCTTAATCATTTCCTTGTAGTATGAATGGCTGGCAAAAGTAAATTGTGATTCCAAACTCCTTTTTGTGTATCTTCCATGAACCTGTTTCAGGGCCTAAATGCATACTGTGTCTGCATCAGCTTCATGTCACAACAACTCTCAACTTCCTGAGATGACCTCAATCCACCAGCTGCCTCCGGCCACGGCACACAAGCTGTCCATGGGCCAGGTGGTCACGTCAGTATTCAGCGTCGTCAAAGAGCTGCTGGAGAATGCACTGGATGCAGGGGCGACTTCTGTTGACGTCCGCCTGGTGAGGGCAGTGCCTGAATGGAGGGCATGTTTGGATGGAAATAGAGCTGTGCCTTCCATAACCCCACATGGTGCGTCTCAAGTACACGATGGATGGACAGTTTGGATACCCTGCTCATTGCTTTTGTGGCAGTATCAAACACTGTAGTGGTTCCGCTTCCAGGATGACTTTGGCTTGGACAAGATTGAGGTCCGGGACAATGGCTGCGGTTTGTCGCCGCAAGATACTGCTGTGATGGGCCAAGCCCACTACACTTCGAAAATACGACAGCTAGATGACCTGGGTAAGCTGTCACATGGTATGTGCCTGTCATGTGAAAAAGGAATCTGCTGTGCCAGGCACGCACAGGTCAGACTGCACATACGGCACTGCAGGCACAGAGCCAGGACGTATCAGCGGGCTCGATTCTGCATCGTGCGTCTCTGTGGCGTCAAAAGTCGTGTGACGCTCTTGTGTTTACTTGCTAGCGATGGTTCAGGTTGGCGTACAAGACGGTGTCGCGTAGCAAGGCCCCCCCCAATGTCCTCCACTTGGACCCGGAGAGACTGCGCGCCCAGTGTGCTGTGCTGGTGAGTGGTTATCGCGTAGAAAACCAATAGAGTTGATGCGCCCTGAGGCCACGCCCACTCCGTTGTCCGATTGCCCTGACCGAACCTGACGCCGACGGCCGCCGCCAGGTTCGCTGTCGTCGTTCGGCTTTCGCGGCGAGGCGATGTCGGCGGTGTGCGCTAGCTGCGATGTCACCGTGGCCACGCGCACCGTCGCCGAGCAGGCCGGCCGCCTCGTCACGCTCGGTCCGGATGGCGCCGTCGTCTCACAGAAGCCGGTGGCGCGCGCTCAGGGTGAGCGACGGAGAGCGGGCGGCGGGACGGGGATTGCGGGCGGCGGGAAGGGGAGCACGGGTGGCGGGATGGGAGAGTGGACGGCGGGACGGGGAGCACGGGCGGCGGGACAGGGAACGCGGGTGGCGGGACGGGGAGAGATGGACGAGGAGCGCAGAGGGCGGGACAGGGAGAGCGGGTGGCGGGACAGGGAGCGCAGCTGAGGTCCCAAAGCGATGGCATTACTGGTGCAGAGTTCGCTTGCTGAGCTCTAATTCACCGGACCTGCCACGTACGTTATCGAGCCCGTGCGTGTAGGCATGCGATACTGGCTAGCTATGCAAGACTACCGCGACAAGCTTTGAAGATACATTCATGTGCGAAGTCCCATCAGACTGCGCATCTCATGCTTTTGTTTTCACTGGGTTTGGCAACCCCCGGGGCCTTCGAAAGACATGGCTCCGAAACATTTGGTCAGATGGACTCACGGCGCCAGCTCGCCTATATTTGTGCGTCCATGAGTCCCCTTCAGTCAATTTACACAGTGCCACAGTGCGAATACCGCAGGTCTCCCAGCCTGTACCTCCCGGCACTGGGATGAGGCCGGTACCATGCCTGGTGCCCCCTGCGGGCGCATCGGCCCGTCAGCTCAGTCCGCACCCCGCCGCCAGGCACCACGGTGACAGCGGCGGCGCTGTTCTCGCGTCAGCCGGTGCGGCGCCAGCTGTACGGCGCGCCGCGGCGGCGGCGGGACGACCTGCGCGCCACCGAAGCCCTGATGGCCGCCACGGCCGTCAGCCAACCCCGGCTCCGCCTGACGCTGCACCACAACGGCGCCCAGCTGCTGCACAAGGTGAGCGCGGCCCTGGTGGTGGGGCTGGGTCGGTCTGATTTACGGTCGGTCGGTGGCGACCCGGCTGGGGAAACCGTATGGTGGTGCCAATAGTGATATGCTAGTATCTAAGAGGGTGTATCATCAGTGAGGACCGGGCCTGGATGATGTATTTGGGCTCATTAACCTTCTCCCTACAAGGGGCCTCACAGGAACCCTTCATAGTTTTTCCTAGAGTAACTGCTGGATGGTTTTGGATTTGGTACTGAAGTTTTTGGAACCTGGGTTCACGCCAATTCTACACGTGTTGTGCAATTTTGAGGTGTCAGACCATGACTGTTCATATTCTTTTTGCTCAGGGTCATGTCACTGACATTTCGTTGAAGAGCGACACATTATGCGCATTCATTGCGAACAAGCAGACTTAAAAGAGGGTTACTAGACCCCTATTACCTTTATCTTACTGACGTGCATTATTATCGTTCTTTTATATTTTGCGAGGTCAGGCCATCCAAGATTAAGCTGTGGCGAATTTTGATGTCTGTGACCAGATTTGACCTTTCGGTCATGTCAGGTCATATGATTTAAACGTGATTGGTACGTATCTTACAGATTTGGAAGGCCTTCCTAGCATTGTTCTTTCCATTGTTGTGGACTTTTCATTTTTTTATTATTATAAAGCTGGGCAGTTCATTGCAACCATTGCCTTCACCTTTTTTACCTGAATATATATCACAGATCACATTTTTGGATGTTCTTGAGTGCCTACTTGGTTAAGTTTTACAATAGCCTTTCAAAGCCGCCTTCGACGTTATCATGTCGTGCTTGTTTTGAGGCCTTAGGAGGGGTCCATACCGTGTTGATTGACTCATTCAACCTGGTTTGACCTGTCAAAAGCCATTACAGTCCCTTTTTCTGTGTGCTTCTGGCCTGCCTAGCTTTTGAGATGTTAAGGGGCTTCTGAGCATCCCCCCGTCGTGAAACGAAGGTGAAAAACTCCAATAGTTCGATGGTTAGATCCGTCCCAGGCTCCTCTCTCCTCCTCACGAGTCGTTAAGATGTGCTCCGTGACGCGTCAGTCGGATGACCGCTCAAAGCCTCGCTCACGTACGTCGCCTGCGCTCCCGTGGCACCCACTGCCCGGACCACTGAGCGGTGTGTGCCGTACCTCAGGCGCCGTGCGACTCTGCGAAGACGGCGGCCGTGCAGGTGCTCAAGTCGGAGGTGGCCCGGCAGCTGCAGCCGCTGACGCTCGGCGATGACCTGGTGCGTGACGGACGGACACCGGCCGCCTGCGGGCGGGGGGGGAGGGAGGGAGGGAGGGAGGGAGGGAGGGAGGGAGGGAGGGAGGGAGGGAGGGAGGGAGGGAGGGAGGGAGGGAGGGAGGATGGATTCTGGTCGGTATTCCCCTGTCCCGACAATCAAGGTGATACACATTTGCCAATGTTACAAACAGCCTTCACGTTATAATCGCATAAAAGTGGTTATGTCCCAAACGGCATTTACATTACCAAAAAGGGCAGGATAGTTGGAGATATATTATTCACGTTGGCTATCAACTGTGTGGATGACAAATTTCATCTGCGAAGATGCATTTGTATGGTGGATTCCTCACGTCACAGGCGGTATCACCTACACCACATCACGATGATGTGGTGCATCAGCACCTCTTATTCAGATACGTGCGTAGTGTTAAGTGGCACCGGTGCCGGCTGTCCCCCAGCTCCGCGTCGAGGTGCTGCTGCCTGCCGTGGACGCGCCGCCCAAGGTCGCCGGTCGGTCGACGGCCGACCAGTGCTTCGTCATCGTCAACGGCAGGGTGGTGAACTACAGGGCCGTGGAGAAGGTGAGCTCGTGCTGTGAATAGGTGGGTGGATCCAGGAAGAAGTGGAGAATGGTCTTGGAAGTGGCTGCGTGGATATAGTACCCATCTATGAATATGGTAAGGTGGGAGATAGTAGCGGCAATGGTTTGCCTTTAATCGGCTCCAACGGGTAGGCGTTCTGTTCCTGACATTTGTGTAAAATGCTTCAGTTGCTCTTTTTGTTTGTATATTGGAGCTTGTCTATTGGAGCTTGTATGAAAGGTATGGGGCATAATTTTGCATGACACCAGCGGAATATCGTTTTTTACGTCATGCTTTTTTCTTGCCGGCCCATGTCCTTCGTGGACATTTTCTGTCAACTTCATGTAGCATCCTTTAGTGGCTTAACCAGCTACAGGCCCGCTCTGTGGAGCAGATATAGCCCACACTCTGCGTGACCCGCCCTAACCTCCTCGCTGCACAGGTGATATGTCTCCTCGCCAGAGCCTGACGCGCCTCCCTCTACGTAGGTGCTGCGTCGGCTGTTCAGTGCCCGGGACGTCCTGACTCCCCCTCCCGCACAGGTGCTGTGTCGGCCTCACCGGGGCCTGACGCGCCTCCCTCTGCACAGGTGCTGCGTCGGCTGTTCAGCGACCGGCACGGCCTGACGCCGCCCAAGGTGCCCGTCTCGGTGGTACAGGTCACCGTGCCGCCGGCCCTGCTGGACGTCAACCTCGAGCCGAACAAGACTCGGCTGCTGCTGCTCTGCGAGGTGAGGCCTGCGCTGAAGGGAAGTGAGGCCAGTGCTGAAGGGAGGTGAGGTTCGCGCTGAAGGGAGGTGAGGCCTGAAGGGAGGCGAGGTCCGTGCTGAAGGGAGGTGTGGTCTGCGCTGAAGGGCGGTGAGGCCCGTGCTGGAGGGAGGCGCCGCTGACAACCGCGCTCGTAGAGATGATATTCTGGAATACCAGCATTGGATGCTGCTAGTTGATTGAGCAGTATCATGAAGAAGGTAATGGGGAAAATGCCGTCCAAAATCAAAAGGCGATTTCGCGGGCTAATGCACTGTATTCTGCGATTCAAGTTTTGCATTTGCCACCAAATATAGTTGGCCATCTCCGAAAGCGAGTGAGGTGGAAGAACTCAGCGTACCAAGGCTCAGGCGGTTACGTTGTCGAGTCAGCAATGCATATGGATTATTGGAGTGTCACAGTGCCAAATATGTGCTGTTTTACAACACCAGGCAACACAAATACCTGAATTGAAACGGTGCATCTTTTTCCACATGCCACATGGCACTGCATGCGATCCTCCCACGTCTGACCGCATTAGCTGCTATTGTAAAGCTGGCATAGGGTATTGAGTCCAGGTCTCAGTCGGCCTTGAAACCTTTCTGTGAAGTGAAGGTTTTGGGTACCGGTCGGGGAACCCGATCAGGGCAAGTAAGCTCTCGGGTCCGGTCCGTACGCGCGCCGTGCCCGTCTGTCGCCAGGAGAAGCTGCTATCCCTGCTGGAGGATGGCTGTGGCCGACTTCTACCGGGTGCCGGCACCGTCGACCGAGCCGACCGACCCGTCCACCGAGCCGGCCGACACCACGCCCTCCTCGCGGCTGATGGTTGACGGGGCGCCTGTCACCGATGTGGACGCGTCACGAAGCGCCTGCCGCGGCAGTGACGTGCGGCGAAACACCTGTCTCGGGTGTGACGCAAGACGCATCTGTCACGGCCGTGACGCGTGAGGAGGCGCCGCCCGCGCCGACGGCAGCGCCGCCAGATGACGCAGGGGCTGTCCCCGAGCCGTTCGCTGTGCCACCCAGCGGGGACATCTCTGCCGAGAGTCTGTTCGGCGAGAACTTCCTAGGAGTGGGTCTGGACGGCGGCGAAGCGGACGACCCGCCGCGGCTCGGCGAGGAGCGGCTGGAACGGTCCTGCGGTGACCTCTCAGACCAGGAGTGCGCGCCGAGCGGTCAGGCGGGGCGGGGCCGACGTCCGCTGGGATCGAGCGGAGTTGAAGCCAGCCCTGACCCCGACCCCGACGCCTGGGCCACGGGCCGGCTGCTCGACTCTCAGGGGGAGCGGATCGAGGTGTGTGGACTACCACTGGCTGCTGCCATCTTGCGGGGTGGGGTGAAAGGGCATGTTGTCCTCCGGTTGTCAAATCGTGCTTTAGGCGGGTTAAGTCGATCCGATGTGCCCTTTTTTCTCTACGCAGTCGCCAGATGTAGCCCTCTTGGACATGCGCGGCGTATGTTTGCATTTACGTGTTTTGCGTTTGGCCTGCTACGTCCTTCCGTCCATCGAATAACAGAGAATTGTCCCGTGTGTTGTGGTACTTTAGTCAAAACCACGGCGGAAATGGGAGCTGTCATACATCCGTTTGCTCGCGTACTCCTCTGCATGTCGTCACTGCTACCGGTGCCCTGCGCCCCGTTTGGCCGCCCGTGGACCTGACGCAGTCGTGTCGGCTGTCAGCCGAACTTTATGGCAGGGTCCCACGCCGGTCAGCCGCCCGCCCGACCCAAGGTTCAGTCGACTCTGCCGCGGCCGGTGCGGCCGGCGCCGCCCGCCGGCCAAACGGCGCCGACCGGGCCGCCACCGGCCAAACGGCCGCGGCCCGACGAGCCCGAGTATGAACCGGTGGCGTCGCAGGTGGTGCGCAAGGCCACCACGGCCTTCCAGTACTACTGCCGGGACATGCGGCGCAAGTGTGAGGAAGCGACGCCGGCGCGCGTGGTGGGAAGGCTACCCCCTCCCCCCGCGCACTGGCTGGCCTAACTTCTGTGTGCTGTGTTGTATCCACATTTGGAAGCCAGACCCACTTGTAATTGGTCTTTTCGAATCTATTTCCAATTTCTGTCCACTTTTTTGCGTGCTATGGTTTTGCCTCACATACCTGCATGACATTGGCTTGGTTTCAACTTCAAACGGATGATGGCGACGATGAGCGGATCACCAGGAACACTGCAATAGCCTTCTAACGGGCTTCGAATGAGCACGGAGCTCGCATATCCGACATACTTTTACCAGATGGCGTCCTCCGTTCGGACCTGCTGACCGTGGCCGTGAAATTTCGGCCCCCTCCCACAGAACAAGAAGGCTTAAAACATGCTTAGCGCTCTCCCCATAGCGCGTGCGGTCACGTGCTGACGGCCCGATCCCGTTACCGAGTCCTCCACTGACGTGACTGTGTGACTGGCGGCCCGACTCCGTTGTCGAGTCCTCCACTGACGTGACTGTGTGGCTGACGGCCCGACCCCGTTGCCGAGTCCTCCACTGACGCGACTGTGTGACTGACGGCCCGACCCCGTTGCCGAGTCCTCCACTGACGCGACTGTGTGACTGACGGCCCGACCCCGTTGCCGAGTCCTCCACTGACGTGTGACTGTGTGCCGGCCCAGATCTGTCTCTGGACCCGGACATGGACATCGGCGAGCTCAGCTCGAGCCTGGCCGACGGCTGGAAGGCGGCCCTGCCGTCCGTCCGGCGGCAGTTCGAGGAGATGGCGGAGCAGGACGACCATCGGTACCGGGAGGACGTTAGGTGGGTGTTGGCAGCAGAGGAGAGGAACCGGGAGGACGTTAGGTGGGTGTTGGCAGAAGAGCGGGCCCGAGACGACCTCAGGTGGGCGCTGGCAAAAGAGAGAGGGACCGTTACGACATCAAGTGGGTGTTGGCAGAAGAGGAGAGGGCCGGGATGGCATCAAGTGGGTGTTGGTAGAAGAGGAGAGGGCCGGGACGACATCAAGTGGGTGTTGGCAGAAGAGGAGAGGGCCGTGACGACGTCAAGTGGGTGTTGGCAGAAGAGGAGAGGGCCGTGACGACGTCAAGTGGGTGTTGGCAGAAGAAGAGAGGGCCGGGGACCACGTCAGGTGGGTGTTGGCAAGAAGAGAGGGCCGTGACGACGTCAAGTGGGTTGGCAGAAGAAGAGAGGACCGGGGACCACGTCAGGTGGGTGTTGGCAGAGGAGAGGGACCGGGACCACGTCAGGTGGGTGTTGGCTGAAGAGGAGAGGGCCCGGGACCACTTCAGGTGGGTGTTGGCAGAAGAGGAGAGGGCCCGGGACCACGTCAGGTGGGTGTTGGCAAAAGAGGAGCGGGCCCGGGGCCACGTCAGGTGGGTGTTGGCAGAAGAGGAGCGGGCCCGGGGCGACGTCAGGTGGGTGTTGACAGAAGAGGAGAGGGACGGGACGACTCAGGTGGGTGTTGGCAGAAGAGGGGAGGGACGGGACGACTCAGGTGGGTGTTGGCAGAAGAGGAGAGGGCCCGGGACCACGTCAGGTGGGTGTTGGCAAAAGAGGAGCGGGCCCGGGGCGACGTCAGGTGGGTGTTGACAGAAGAGGAGAGGGACGGGACGACTCAGGTGGGTGTTGGCAGCAGAGGGGAGGGACGGGACGACTCAGGTGGGTGTTGGCAGCAGAGGGGGGGGGGGACGGGACGACTCAGGTGGGTGTTGGCAGCAGAGGGGAGGGACGGGACGACTCAGGGGGTGTTGACAGAAAGGGGAGAGACGGGACGACTCAGGTGGGTGTTGGCAGAAGAGGGGAGGGACGGGACGACTCAGGTGGGTGTTGACAGAAGAGGAGAGGGACGGGACGACTCAGGTGGGTGTTGACAGAAGAGGGGAGGGACGGGACGACTCAGGTGGGTGTTGGCAGAAGAGGGGAGGGACGGGACGACTCAGGTGGGTGTTGGCAGAAGAGGGGAGGGACGGGACGACTCAGGTGGGTGTTGGCAGCAGAGGGGAGGGACGGGACGACTCAGGTGGGTGTTGACAGAAGAGGAGGGAGGGACGACTCAGGTGGGTGTTGACAGAAGAGGGGAGGGACGGGACGACTCAGGTGGGTGTTGGCAGCAGAGGGAGGGACGGGACGACTCAGGTGGATGTTGGCAGCAGAGGGGGGACGGGACGACTCAGGTGGGTGTTGACAGAAGAGGAGAGGGACGGGACGACTCAGGTGGGTGTTGACAGAAGAGGGGAGGGACGGGACGACTCAGGTGGGTGTTGACAGAAGAGGGGAGGGGGGAACGGGACTCAGGTGTGGTGGGTGTTGGCAGCAGAGGGGAGGGACGGGACGACTCAGGTGGGTGTTGACAGAAGAGGAGAGGGACGGGACGACTCAGGTGGGTGTTGACAGAAGAGGGGAGGGACGGGACGACTCAGGTGGGTGTTGGCAGCAGAGGGGAGGGACGGGACGACTCAGGTGGGTGTTGGCAGAAGAAGAGAGGGCCCGGGACCACGTCAGGTGGGTGTTGGCAGAAGAGGAGGGGACCCGGGACCACGTCAGGTGGGACAGCTGTTGGCCGTTGGTGCTGACATCCAGCTGTTGCTTTTGCGGGACGCTGTGATATGGATGTTTTCAATTACGAGTCTTTTGATCGCAGTCCGGATCTCTTAACTCGCGCTTACCCGATGTGATTGCTAGTCTACCTCTCGTGTTGGCATCAACGTCCACCGCCGTCCGTTGATTGCAGGAAAGCGAAGTTGTCCAGCTTGATCCAGACGCCGCAAAAGACCATCACGGACTTCTGGGGCGTGCACACGCAGCTGCGGCGAATGGTGGCGCCACTCACCCCTGAGGCGCGCGCCCGCCGGCCCCGCAGGAACACCGCTCACCTGTCCTTGCGGGGACTCAAGGAGAAGGTTGAGGCGCTGGAGGCGGGGGCGGGTGCCGCGTAAGTGTGCAGGATGTGTCGTGGTTAGTTCGGGTAAAGATCGCAGGCCATGCATGGGATTTCTGAAACAAAACCGTTCGCCTTACTTCGCCGCATGATACTTATGCGAGATAATGCGTGTTGACCTTCATTGCCATCGGAACTTGTTCGTTGGACCAATTTAAGTGGTGTTTTATGCGTTATGAACTAGTTTATTGTACCGGTGCTTGTCTAAGCGCAGCTGCACACATAGGCTCAAAGAGTAGGGTAACACCGCATCTGACCGCGTTCGTGCCTAGGCCTGCGGTGATCTCGGGGCTGATCTAGGGAACTTTACTTTGAAGCCTAAATGTAACAATAACGGTGACAAGATGAACGTTTTCCCTGATGGCTCGTCGCCCCTACACCGGGACTGCTACGGTTCGCAGGGTTCCATCTCCATCAGCACTGCAGGTGGTGGGTCCCCTGGAGTCGCATCAGGCGTGGGTGGTGCTCCAGCCGCCGCAGCTCCTGCTCGTCAATCCGCTCCGTCTCTCCGAGACCTCCACGCTCGCTCGACTGCTGGCCACCTACCACTTTCCCCGCCGCCCGCTGGCCGACGCGCTGGTGCTCACCGGCGCCACGCTCGGTGCCGCCCGCTTCTCCACCCTCTCCCAGCTGCCGAGAGATGGCAGTCGCGTCACCGACGAGCGCCTGCTCGCAAACGGCTTCTGCGTGGAGATGGCGGGCGAGGCGGCGCGCGTCACCGCCATGCTGGACAGCATCAGCTGCTACGGCGTCGGCGACCTGGTTGAGGTGCTGACCAAGATCGCCGCCGGCGCCACCACCCTGACCCAGAGCCGGCCAGCGCGGGCAGTCAGCTGGTTGCAGGTCAGTCGGGTGGCACGAGACTCGAACGGAACAGGGGAAGTTCCCGTGATACCCGCGCTAAAGGTACAACACGGAGACATTCTTGCTGACGGGATGACATTTTGTTTCGTTGGGACCAGCATAGACAAGAATCAAACGACAGCGTATTGCAAAACAAAGTTATTGGCAGTTTTTGAACTGAAATGCAATAATTTTGGAACGAACTCGCGTCGGCAGGCCGCGACAAAAGGTCAGGCGACGGCAGGACCCCGTAACATACCGTGCCACCAGTCTCCAGCAGCCACAGCTGGTCGCTGCGAGCCGGCAGTGGGAGCGTTGACACGACCGTCCCTTGTCTCCAGGCCGAGGCGGTGCGGATCTCACAGGGCGACGGAGCGCGCATGTCCGCCGAGGAGGTAGCGACGCTCATCGCGGACGCGGATGACCTCGGCGCCGCCTGCTTCCACGGCCGGCCGCTGGCGGCGCCACTGTACCGTCTGGAGACGTGACCGACGCACCACGTCCCCCCGGCAGATGCCAGCCACGACGGGTCGATCAAACGTTGCGACGCAGTATTCTCAAGATCACTTTGTGTTTACGAAATGTCTAACTGTACACCGTTTCTACGTTATAAACTGTGTGCTCGTATTGAGGCCTCGTGCTGCGGCTCGTCTGCGAGCGGGGGGCAGCCGATGCGGGTCCGATAGGACGTCGGCCCCCACGCCGAAGCCCATGTCGTCGCCAGACGGAGCTGTGGCAGAAGCACCGGTGTATCTACGGCCGCGACGACTCACTGGCTAGAATAACGTCACTGGCCGTTCGTTAGCGTCTTGAGTAGTGGTGGTGGTGATTTGGTTTTTAAGGGCGCGTCGGCATCGGGGCCATTTTGCGCCCAAGCGTCTGAGCGGAGGAGGCGCCCACGCCATTTACCCCATCTCCCGCCGCCGGTGTACAGGGTAGCCAGCAGCCGACCACGCGGCCCATCTACGGGACCCAGACGGCCCATCTCGAGGAGGCAAAAGACGCGCCGGTCATGGTTAGCCAGCATTCAGTGCCCTCGGCAGGAGCCATCAGGCATCAAACGTAAAGGGAGTCGTCACACTCCTGGCTGACAGCATTCGTGCGGCTAACCCGACGTCGGTTGCGTAAGGCGCGTGTAAAGGAATCACTTGTCTTCGTGGGCGCCATCAGCCGGTATGGTCAGCGCCATCTACCAATCGCACGTGGCGACGAACGCAGCACTGTGAAACATGCGGAGCCAGACGCCAAACACGGCCGTCGCGGGAAAACAGGGCTAGCTCAATGAGTACAGCTGGCAGCTTGCCAGATGGTTTGGTCTGGTCTGATGCAGGGCATCCCCACACTCTTCACCTTCACCACCCTGACTGACGACTGACCCGGACCACCGCACCACTCCTCACCTTCACCACTGTGACCGCCGAATGACCTGAACCAGCGGACCACTCTTCTCCAGCACTGTGACTAACGACTGACCAGAACCAGCTCACCACTCTTCGCCTTCACCACTGTGACTATGCGACTGAAGGTCGCATAGTTTTCGCCTTCACCATTCGGAGCCAGCGTGCCACCTCGGTGGTAGTTTCAAACCATTCGGGTGCAAACATGGGATTGGTTGTATTTTCACTATGATAACGACGCAACAAATCCGGCACGCACGCACAATACCATCAGCACCAACACACCACAGTCTGTCACTCAACGCACTCCGCACAACTTCGCACAAACAGCGACAACGGCGCCGGCGGACGAGGCGGCAGAGCGGTGTCCGCGCTCACCCGCCGCCGCCGCCGCCGCCGCCGCCGCCGCCGCCGCCACCGCTCTTCTTGCCGCTGTTGAGCGCCAGCATCTTGTACACGTGCTTCCTGACGCGCTTCTGGCGCTTCTCGAAGCGCTCGATGTCTGCCTTCCGCTTGTCGACCATCTTCTTGGCGCGGTCCTGCGCCAGGCCGCGTCGCTTTTGCTGCTGCACATCGTATGTGGCGCGCAGCGTCTTCATCATTTTCATCACCTGGACGGGGAGGTCAGGTCAGGAAACTGATGACAACATGATACGATTCAACCATAGGCTAACACCACTCACACAAACCCTAAAGTCCTGCCCGATTAGGAAGAAATCTGCCGTGCTTCCGCATAACCAGCATTACCAGTCACACGACAAAAGGCTTGGCATTTACGAGCCCCCATCAGCTGCGCTCGCAGCGCCCGACCGTGCCGATGGTCCCCGGCAGCCGAAGCGGCCGCAGCACATCATGACCAGTCAGCGAGGGGGGGGGGGGCGACCGCCAAACGGAGAGATAGACGGTGACCGGCTGACTTGACCGACGGCCTCGAGGGCAGCAACGCACCTTCTGTTCGCGCGGCTGCAGCACGACCGCCACCCGCTCGTGCTGCTGTCCGGGCCCGGCCAGCACGTTGCCGACACCCAGCTTGGCGCGGTCGGCGTATGGCAGCTGGCGCTGGAGGGAGGCCGGCACCTGGAGCGGCCGGCTCTGGCGCGGTCGCCGCTCCACCGGCTGCCGGCACGGGGGCGCAGGTCACGGACACAGGCCAAGTCACAGGCAGCACTGCGCCCGCCTGACCCAGAGGTCGAGAGGGCAGATTTCACTGACGGTATAGCGGGGCTGTACAGTAAGGCGTGAGCACAGACACATCCTGGGGTCAATAATCGGCTTGGGCATGTGCTGACGATCGTTAGGTAATGGAGGAGCTTGCCTGGCTGGTATGAAGCGCAATTGCGAAGCTCTGCGCCCAACTACATCGGCGTATGCGTGATTTACGTTATGGTGTTACCGTTGTAAACTTCGTGTCTTTTCTAGCGGGGAAAAAGACGCAAACGGTGACGAACTACTTCAGTCATCACGGACGTCCCCGCCCGACAGCGCCAGCTCACCGTGTACAGCTGGTCGGGGTCGGGCTGCACGCGGATGTCACGCTCTCTCTTGAGCTGGCCGACCGTCTTCATGCCCTGCCAGCGCGCCTTGTCGGCCGGCGGCAGCAGGAGCGAGGTGACGGGCGCGTACAGCCGCGCCACCTCCATCGGGTACCACGTGCGCACGAACACGATGTCGCTCAGCTTGATGTGGTCCTCGAACGTGCAGCGCACCAGGCCGGCCGGTTTGGCGGTCAGCGCCTTCTTGATCTGGCCGCGCACTCCCGACACCGTGCGGCAGAGCGCGCCCTCAAACTTGGCCGCCTCCAGCACCGAGGTGAACATGCCCTGCGACGGAGCACGGGGGTCAGCAGAGGGCGAGGGGCGTCGGTCCGGCCTGGCGCGGAGCAGGCATGTCCTAGGACGTGGACGACACTGAAGGGCTCTGTTTGTCCTAAACCTCACGAACCACGCCGTCAGTTGTCTCATGCGGCCATAACTACGCAGCGAGACGTACCGTAATTCCCCATTCATGAGATCACACGTATTTAATTTAACGCTAGGTCGCCCCCTTAGCAGAAGTACCATACATCAAGATCTCGCACCACACCGCTCATCATCAGCTTCAGACAGGCCTCAACCACAACCACAACCAGCTCCCCAGCATCCGCCGTCAACTCCGCCGCCGGCCGCCGCCAAGACCCACCGCACCTGTATGAAGGCGGTCTTCTTCATGACCTTGTTGGGCGTGCCGACCAGCTTCAGCTTCTTCACCACCTGGACCGACTTGTCCAGGTCGAGCACGGTGCCGGTGGCGGCCACGCGGAACGAGGCGGAGACGTCGCTGACACTCTGCAGCGCCAGCAGGCCGGTGCCCTGCGGCGTGATCGGCCCCCAGAAGTGGGCCGTGCAGTGCAGGTGGTCCGGCGTGTACTTGAGCAGCCTGGCGAGCGAGCCCGGCACGTCAGCGGGGGTCGGCAGGTGGGCGTCCCGGCGCCGCACCGCGACCGGCTCAGGCCGATGTCGCGTCGATCGTTAGCCGGTATCCCGGTGACCGTTGTACCCATGGACAGGACCGGCAGCGCGACCGCACGTCCTCACCGATTACAAGGGAAAAGCGGAGCTTTGAGCTGGCAGCCTCGCGCCACAACAGCGTCCCCAGGTGCGCGACCGTCAGCACACAGGACAAAGAGAGACGCCGGCTGGCCACAATCCAGCCCGGAGCATTCGCCAGAATGCTCCGGGCTCCTGCAAACGGACAAGACAGCCACTCGGAATCACAAGAACCGTACGCCCTGTCGCGGAGCCCTGCGCCACCACGGCTATGTTACAACCCATTCCGACAGTCGCACCACCCGAGCGTCACAGAGCGTCGGCGGCGGGCTGGCTCCACCAAGGCCGCGGTCGAGCGCCGCGCACTGCAGCCCACCTGTTTCGGCCGTTGTGGTCCTGGACCGAGTAGAGCGGCAGCGTCTGGAAGCGGCGCCAGCCGAGCGAGACGATCAGCGGGTCGCGCGTCTTCAGGGTGCGCTTGTACCAGCGGTGCCGCTTCACCCGCGCCTGCGTGCAGCCGGTGGCCGGTGGCGATCAGCGACCCCGGCCATGCACGGCAGGGCCAGGGGAAGGGTGGGGTTGCGAGAGGCACTACAGGAGAGCACCATGTGGCGCTGGGCAGGCGTAACCGATGACAAACTGGCACACAGCGCTTAGCCTTCAGAAAGTATAAACCAGGTATATACAAAGCGCAAGTACAAACCAAGTATGCTGGGTACAATCTTCAGTACAAACCAGGTATACTTAGACGTACCACACAAATTTGATGTGGTTTCAGGCAGGCCGGCATCGCTGCCGCACGCATCGTAGCTGCAGCCTCACACCTATCTCACACCTATCGCTATGCGATATCGTCTGTCAGCCCAACACGCGCCCGCATGACCACCCGGAGACGTGGACCAACCCTGCACGAGCCCGTCACGACCGGCCTACCTCCTGAGCCCCGCTCACCGCCTGTCGCGCCCGGTCCGCACCCAACACCCCTGTCCGCGCCCACCCGCACCCCCTGCACCCACCCACATCCTGCCGCCCGAACCCGCACCTGCACACCCCTGCCGCGCCTCCACACCGCACACTGCACCCCCCCGCTCTGCCCGGACCCGCAATGCCACACCCCTGCCCCGCCCGAACCGCGCCATCACACCTGCTGACCGGACCGCCGGCCCCCTGCCGCGCCCGACCCGCACACACCCTGCCGCGCCCGAACCGCAATCAACCCCTTCGCGGCCGGGTCCGCACCCGCACACCCCTGCCACGGCCGGGTCCGCACCTGCACACCCTACGCGTCGCTGCACTCACACCTGCCGCACCGCACCTGCCACGCCCCGCAACGGCGGGTCCGCACCTGCACGTATCCGATGTTCTCCTCGCCGGTGGTGAGGCCGCCCACAATCAGCGGGATAGGTGGGGTCGAAGTTGGTGACCAGCTCGCACGGCACGCTGGCGACCTCCAGCCGCACGTACATGCCCGGCCGGTAGCCCTCGAACTGCACGCGCAGCTCATCCTCCAGCCCGTCGAACTCGCTCCGGTTCAGCTGCGGCACACAGGCGGCTGGGAGACCTGGCACAGCAGCCGAGCCGTGTCGGCAGCGACACACAGGTCCACACGTGCTGTCCGCGAGGCATGCTTTTCAAAACGCACTTCACGAAATGCCTCACAAAATAGCCGCTGTGAGACGAACGCGTGGGCCGCGACTGGCAGAACACAAGCACAGTGCCCCGCAACCTAATGCGATGATAGGATGTCCAGCAGATGTTCATCAACAGCTTGGGCGTGATACACTCGTAGCGGCGTCCGCCAGCTGTCTCCAGCTGTACCAAGGCTGCCGAGCGACGCTGGTCTCCGCAGACGTACCTGGGCCTGCTGGTCCAGGTCACGCTTCAGGTCATCATAGAAGCTGGAGCCCTCCTTGTCGTCGTACTCGGCGTCAAACATAGCCTTCAGTTTCTTTTTCTTCTCCAGCAGCTGCTTCCGTGTCATCTGCTCGTCCTCTGGAGCGCCATGAGCAGAGTCACGCCGCAGGATACAGGGTGACGGGGTGCGACGCGCCACATCGTCAGGGGTACATACGTCACGTCACGGGAATGCCACGTCACGAATACGCCACGCTGCATCACGGTCACGCCACATCATGGGTATGACGTGCCATGGCCGGGCACGACACGTCAGGCCGGGTACGACACGTCAGGCCGGGTACGACATGTCAGGGGTACGTCACGTCACGACCTTTCGCCTTGGCAAACGAGGAGAATTACTTTGCCCGCATGGCAACAAGGAAAAGACAGGGGTCAAGTGTTGTATGAAATCCATCAACTGCTAGGATATTTCACCAATTTTGGCGCTGGTTCAACGCTCCTTTTCACCCCCCCCCCCCTCGCTTCAACACCCGAAATCCTAACACCGCGTCATCCCCACTCCACACCCATCTGAACGCATGGTGCCCAGGTCTGGCTGTGTTGGGTGGCCCCAGAGAGCACATCACGGCCCCGGCGTGCCCACCGCACCTTTTTTAACAGGCATCTGCTCCTCGGCGTCGGAGTCGGCCGGCTCCGGTGGCGCCGCCTCGTGCTTCTCGCCGGTCTCCATGTCCTCGAAGTCGCCGTCCAGCTCATCGTCCTCGTCCATGCCATCCTCGTCGAGGGCGAGCAGGGCCGAGGCGTTCTCGCTCTCCTTCCACTCGCCCGTCACGAAACAGTCGGCGATGCAGGCGCGACCCTGCGGAGCGGTCGGCGTCACGTCACGTCACGTCACGGCTGAGACGGCCCGCAGGGCGAGCGGCCCAGCAGCGGCAGCCGCAGGCGGGCAGCAGGACGCTACAGACTGTACGCTCTCATACCGGTGTGGCGAGCTGACCAGCCACCGGACTGAGGTGGCATCCCACCTGTCACAGGAAGGTCGGCTTTGCCAGGGTGCTGATGGGGCGTGGCCAATGCGAACAATGGCTTCAAAACTGAAATCCACGACACGCACTTTTACTGACACGCGGACCAAAACGGGAGATATTCATCTGTGTCGAGCCGTACACGATGGCAAGGTTTCATGCGTTATCCACAAGTGGCAGATGATCATTGAGAGGCATTCACTGCATCACAGCGGTTGCGAAGTTTGTGGGTCCGAAAAAGGAATGGCACAGCTGCTATTCCTTCTATCCCAGCAACGAAACATGCTGTACTAGGACGCAACAATACAGAAAAATGGCCTAAACGCACAAGTTTTGATATTTCTCAATCGCGCGTAATTATCCTTCGTAAATCGCAAGCTAGTGGGCGATTTGTACCCACCGATCCAGATTTATCCACTTACTAATTCTACCTCAAAGCCACCAGTAGATGGTGCGATGTGGCTTGACCTCGTGCACAGACCTACGGACGACCACTGACTACCCCTCTCGAGGAGGCGCCACCACAGCCCAACAGGCGCGCGCAGGCGTCGGGCCGTACCTCGTCGGTCTGCCAGCGGCTGAGGTGGCGTCCGTCCGGCTCTGGCAGGCTGCGGTCCGTCTCGTCGCGGCCGCTCCTGTCGCGCTGCTCGGCGCGCACCACGCGGAACAGGCCGCCCACCTCCGGCTCCTGCTCCTCCTGCTCGGCGGCCGCGTCCGAGGCGGCGCCGGCCGAGCCCGGGTCTGCCGGCACGGGCGCCGCGGTCACGAACGGCCGACCAGCCCCGCAGCTGGCCCGCCCTTGGCGGTCGGGGCGCTTCAGCACGGACAGCGGCTCAGCCGGCTGGCACGGCCCCACCAGGGCAACTGTCACGAACGGTCTGACCCCCACCTCTGACCCTAGCCAGACGGCGGCTGGCGGGAGCCGTCATGACAGCGGGGTCTCAGGGGGCGCGATCAGACCTCGAGTACTGACTCATCAGGAGCTGGTGGTATGGTCAGAGCCAGGCGGAAGACGTTGGGCACAGCGGCACCTAGTTTACAGCTTCCGGCCAGTACTGCAGCTATGATGGGATGCTAGAGACCAGTCTGGCCTCGAAACGTTAACGGTATCACGTAATTATCAGAAATAGGGCGTCAAGTCCGACCAGAAGTAAGCGACTAAGTAATCCTAACCAGAATACCTGGCCTGAACGTGTGTTCCGCTCAATAGAAACACGAGCAGTTCAATAAAAACTTCATCCATCCAAAGCGTCAGAGCGAGAGTGGTACAACCTGCACCGTACCCACCTGTGCCATATATGAGCTTGTGTAGCTGGCGCGCGTTCTGGCGGGGGGCGACCGCGGTAGCCGTCAATGCTGCGTCCCCCTCCTCGTCCTCGGAGGAGTCCTCGTCCTCCTCGCCACTACCGCCTGGACTCCCATTGCTCAGGCCGTTGGAGGCCGGCTTTGCAGCAGGGTTGTTAAGGCTCATATCGGCGTCTTCCTCTTCACTGTCCTCCATTGCCTCATCATCACTGTCCTCCTCCACTTCCCCCTCACTGTTCTCTGCTTCCTCATCGCCATCCTCCTCCTCGTCCTCGTCGCCATCGCCATCGCCATCGCCTTCGCTGTCCTCGCCCACCTCCCCGGTGTCGTCGAAAAGGACCCGCCGTCGGCTGCGGCCGTCCTCCCCGGCCACCGTCTCGTAGTGTAGTTTCCTACAGGAGTAGCCGATGTCAACGCTAACTTTCGGCCATTCCGCGAACCATTTAATCGTCGAAAGCGTTTGTCAAAATGTTTCACTGAGGATCAGCGCACAACCTTATGAACTTCCGCCATTATCCTTCGACATAACGGTGGGCCGAATGGTAAGTCGCTAACATTTTTTTCTCGAATGTAATAAAATACCGGCGTAAGCACAGTAAAGTGTCACATTCATGGTTCCAGCATGTGATGCCTCTTAAGAGTGGCGATTCCTGGTCTAAATCACTTGGCGGTCATTTAACTCACAGCCAACGCTCCTGCCCAAACAGCCAAGCGAGAGCAAATATGGACATGAATGCGGGGAAGACAGCTTACATGGCCGCGTCCTGTGACGAGATGGGCTGCTGTCCGGAGAACACCTGCAGCTGCGCCTCCTCCATCTTCTGGTCGATGGTGTGCTGCGATGTCATCAGCGAGCTCACCAGCTGCTGATCCTCGTCCTCCTCCTCCTCCTCCTCTGCGCCCTCCTGGTGCTCGCCGTCCCGCGGCGGCTCGGCGGCGGCCGTGTCGGTCGGCTGCCAACACCGGTACGTCACTCAGCGATCAACAATTGATGCGTTTTTTGATTGGCAAGGATTGTCAGCCCCCAACCACTGACGGCCAGAGCGGTATGCCACAGGAGGCGATGACCAACAAAAGAGTGAAAACAAAACAATAGTGGGCGAGCACAATCAGCGTCATCTGCAAAAACTACTCGCAGTGCGATGACAGCAAACAAGCTGTGAGTTTGATCTTGCTGTGCTGCCGACTAACCGCAGCGTCGGACCATCGCGAAGGGAACATTAATGCACACGTGGCCTACCTGAACACACGCCTCTAAACGTCTCTGGCCCCATTCTCATTCTGGAGGCTGTAAGGTTGCTCTGGCTTTGCTCTGGTGGCAGCCTGACCTCACTCAGCCCTCGGCGTGACACACGACGTGTCACTGACCCCGCCCTGGACCCCACCTGGCGCCCAGGCTGCAGACGCTGCTGTCGACAAGAACTGAGCGGCGGCCTCATCTTATCGCAGCGGGAGTGGCTGTCAGGACCCGAGCGGTGGCCTCACCTTGCCGCCGTGGTAGTGGCTGTCAGGATCCCAGCAGTGACCTCACCTTGCCGCCGTGGTAGTGGCTGTCAGGATCCGAGCAATGACCTCACCTTGCCGCGGTGGGAGTGGCTGTCAGGACCCCAGCAGTAACCTCACCTTGCCGCCGTGGTAGTGGCTGTCAGGATCCGAGCAGTGACCTCACCTTGCCGCGGTGGGAGTGGCTGCCGCCCAGCTCGATGTACACGGCGTCCTTGTCGTAGACGATGCCGCCGACGCCCGACATCGGCGCGTACATGGACTTGTCGCGCTCCGTCAGCGACCGGCGCGACTTGGTGGCCCGGTCCGGCAGCGGGCACGGGTCCGGCAGGAAGTCCACCGACGACACGCGGAAGTCGCCGGCGCCTGCCGTGCCGCAGCCGAGTTAGAGGCCGGTCGCCGGCGCCGCCATGGCGACCGTACAGCGAGTGAGTCAGGGCAATGTTTGTGGTTGCTTAGCTCGTGTCCGTGAATGAGCGTGCTCCGTCAGGCGCTGTGCTATTTTACAAATGCTTTACAAGTGGCCTGGCACCACCGCCGCAGAGAGGGCGGTACTTTGGGTTTGAGCTTTCGAGTGCGGGTTCGAGTACTCTTCGAAAATTCCGGCGTATGACGTCAGCGAAGGCAATGGGGACTTCTTAACCCTGGTAAAAATGTTGCTAAAACGCGAAGAGCAGTTTTGGCGGGGATCCGTTGGCGGGACGCTTAAGTGTGCGTGAATCAGACGTTCAGACTCACCAGTCTGAACTCTGAGAACCCATCAGACCCACCCAACAGACCTCGAGACCTGGCTAACGGCTAAAACCACATCGCCAGCAGAAGCACGTCGTCGTCACCACAACCAAAACCACCCTACCGACACACACGCTCGAGTACGGGGCTGGAGTGGATCTCCTGGGGCCGCACCAAGACCGCGCAGCGTGGCTCCCCTCACCGGGTATGTGGATGGGCGTGTCCTGCCGGAGGGGCACGCCGCGCACGTAGCCGTACAGGCTGATGGTGCGGTCACACTTGGGGTTCTGTCGGACGGCCTCGGCGCCGGTCAGGTCCTCCATGCGGTCGGCTGGAACGGTCCGGCTCCGGTCAGCCGAGCTCAGGTCAGCGCGGCCCGGTGCAACAGAGGTCACCGCAACAACGGCCGGGACAAGCCGCGGCCTCCCACCGATCAGCTCCACATCACTGACTCAGGTCAGGCTGGGGCCTCCCGACCCACACATCAGGTCAGGTCAAGTCGGCGCCGGTTCGCCAGGACAGGTCCCACGCAGCTGTTCTGCGGACGTGAAGCGCCACGAGGAGGCCCGTGACTCCTCAGACGTACTGTCGCGACACTTTCAGCGGAGCTGAACCACACGAGCCAACAGGGGACGGTACCTCACCCGCCTCATTCCTCTCCTTACCACCAGTAGCCAGCCGCAGTGGACAAAACTACACATCCCAGCAGCTGTAATGTTACCGCTCGGAGACGGGTGTGATGTGCCCCGTAGAGGGCGTTCGCTCACCGAGGATGTAGGGGTGGGCCTGTTTCCAGGTGAGAGGGCGGAACTTCATGACCGATATGAAGCGGCCCAAGTTGTGCACCTCCATCCGCTGGTAGTCGCCGTGTACCATTCCTGCCAGCACACAGTCGGCCTTAACAAGCGCAGCTACTTCCATGCGTAGTTCTCGCTGTTAAAATGAACGGGTCACATGCAGCTTTCTTTCATAACCATGGACGTGAAGGAAAAGACGTACAAGGCAACACGGTTCACACAATGAGAGGTAAGTCCACACTTTGTATTTTGCCCCTGTACTGCAAACTTGAGGTGTATCAACCTCAGTAATGTTCGGCATATGAGCTATGAACGCATGGGATTTACAGCACAATTTACATGCCACCCTCCACCAGGAATATGATGACGATGGTGATTTGGAGTTTTTGGGCTCGTCGACGAAGAATGGTTGTGCAGCGCCCATTACGCCAGGAATAACGACATAAATAATTACCAGACAGGTAAAACAGCTTGGCTCCTGGGTAAACATCCGTCCAGAAACGATTTTTCAGAGTTTTCTTCGTTTTCCGCATCTTCTTAGTGTCTTTGAACATGTCCAGATGTGTCAGGACTCCCATCACGCGCGGAAAACCGTGCACCTGGAATGCGGGCAGGGTCAGCATCAGGTCAGGTCAGGGTCGCTACAAACGCCGCGCAGTCCTGGGGTCACATGGACAGCGCAGCCCGCCCAGCGTGACATTCCTCCTTACCGTGTCCGCTCCCAGCCGGGACTTCAGCCGACTGACGCACGACAAACATACCACAGGCCAGAGCCTGCCCAGGTGTCAGCACGCTAGCCAGTACAGTTCGAAACATCGCCGAACGTGAGCCGTCATCACGGCATGATACGTGCCTCCGGCCGCGGCCCGCACCGCCGCCGCACCGGCCAACGGAGGCCGCCCCACCCACCTGGCAGATGTTGAGGAACTCGAACGTCTCCATCTCGAAGCCGAACGACGCGTCCACCAGCAGAAGCACCAGGTCCACCACCTTGGCCAGGTCGATCATGCAGTTGATGTCGTTGTTGCACTCAATGAAGGTGAGGCGTCGCTTCTTGGCTGTAGAAGGGCGGGGGACGTGGAGAGACGAGGGGACCAGCAGGGTCTACAATTTAATGCAGTCTGTGATGTCCCTCAGACCACAACTTGTCGCAACAATACGCGGACGGCGTTGACAGATGAGACGCCATGATTATTTTAATAACATGAAGTCAGCTCGCAAAACTTCCCCTCTTTTTGACAGAGGAGATATTCGTGATGACAAGAGCTCTCTGCAACGTCAAGAAACGAGCGCCTTTTGAGCCTGTTACAGATCCAAGCCAATGTCCCGAAGCTTCACCAGAAGCTTTGCAAAGTAACGTTCATGCTGTGACAATGAACCAACTCGGGCTGGTTCAAAACGCTGTGATGTTCAAGCCTATTTTCATACTCCTTAAAGTACTACTTACAGTACGTTTCCAACGTTCTTAAAGGAAACGAAAGGTCACCATCCATACAGCGTACCGCGCTAGCCAATACTGAGGTATGCTAAGACAGATGGCCAATACCGAAAATATAACACACTTGCCAAGCACGCGCCTCTCACGGACCACTGGCACCACAACCACCAGAAGCACGTGCTACCATCACGCTCAATTAATATGACACAACTACAGGTGGCTCGCCCATCGCCCAGCATCACGCGGCCGCACGACCCAGTCGAGCAGCAGCCCACCTGACACAATCGTGACCGGTCCTTGGATGTTGGTCAGCGTCTTGCGCGTGAAGTTCTTGATGAGGCACTGGACGAGGGTGGACTTGCCGACCTTGGGCGGCCCGACAACGCCGATCACGATGGGCGGCGGCTCCAGCGGCGTCCGGTCGATCACCGGGATGTGTGTCTTCCGCTCTTTGATGTCCTGCGAACTGGGCCAACACGGTCAGACGCCGCAGCCGACGGCCACCGGCAGCGTGTACACACGGGAAAAGGCCACAGAGAGCGTGTGCAAACGGGAAAAACGGTCACAAGAGCGTGTATACACGGGAAAAACGGCCATGCCGAACGTGTACACACGGGAAAACATACTATGGAGAGTATGTGTATATGTGAAACATGCCACGGAGAGCGTGAACACATGGAAAAGACAGCCACGACAGCGTACGCTCCCCTAATGCTTCGTGTCCTCTTCAAAAGGTGATTGAAAAGCATTGTTCCCCCGTTTTCCGACATCAGTTTGCTCTGCGAACGGCTCACGACGCAATGCTACGAAAAGCATAGTGTTCAAGACAACCAGCTGCCACCATTACAGCAAGCGCTGCGTGGCCAGAGGTGATTCCAGCCAGCTAACAATTTCAGCCTGAAAAAGGTGGGCCCGGCTCGCCAGTTGCGGGGCCACACGATGCGAGCAGTGGGGAGATGGACGGGGGGAGGGGTACCTAAAGCACCGGCACCGGCACCGTCAGGTGCCCAAGTAGTCGCATTGACTGCAGCATTGCCTGGCATTGGCAGCAACTGGGCGAAACAAATTCTGCCAACTGGTTTCTACCAGTTAAATTTGGTTAGAAGGAAACGAAAAATCCCAGCGCTGAAAAACTAGCTGTGATAGCGGAGACCATTTGTGCAGCCCAATAGCCATATGGAATGCACGCTGAACGTGATTGGAGTACGCCTGGTACATACAACAATTAACCTATGGTAAGAAAAAGGGTTGGCGGACAAACGTCACATGCTGCCAGAAACTGTTGAAACTGATGCATGGAAGACAACGCTATTTACATCGCTGGGGGGGGGGGGGGGTGAATATGCTAACTAGCAGCCGTCTGATGGCCCTGCATCACACAAGGCATGGCCAGAGGTTGCTGTGCACATGTTCCAACACTAAAATATGTGCTCATTAAGCAACAAAAAAAATGTATCATGCCCTTGCTATATCAAAAAACTGAGCCAACATTTTGAATTAATAAAACTGATGTGGCAGCCTTACATAACTGAAAAAGAACCACCATGGTCTCATTTTTGTAGCCTGTCAATTTCAACTGTTAAAAACGGTAAGAACCCTACAGTTCCAGCCAGCTAGGATGCCAGCCTGGGTGATGATGGGCGACAGGCAGATGGCCAGTCCATGCCCATTCCGAGCACGTACCGGCGGAGCGTGCGGGCCGCCGACACTGCCGAGCGGAAGGCGAATGCCTTGGGATTGCGCTGTTTGGCAGTCAGCTCCTGCTTGTGAGGCTCCTTTTGTTTCTTCTTGTCTGCCTTCCGGCCTGCAAGCAAATGTCGGAGATCACAAAGGCAATGTCAAGCAACACAGAAGCAGGGAAGGACAGGGGCAGTTGCCCCAAACTTAAGTAAACATTTAGCATCACCCCCATGGTGTCACAGCAAACAAAGAATACCAACCTTGCACTCAAAACAATACATCACTAAAATAGTGACTTGAACATTTTCATCTGTAAGCTATCTTCAGATACCAGGTGGAGTTGGAAGTAAGGGGGGGGGGGGGAGGAGTGAAGCCAGTTACCACGGAACACCAAAGTGCGAAAGGTTCTGACAAGGTTCATGGGTCAAACCAGGCAGCTCCCTATTTGGCCATTAGGGGGTCAGCAACTATCATAATCAATCACAAAGTGGGCAGGGGTGTTGTTTGGCCACTTATAGTGTGACATCTGATGAACAACAGCTTCAGAGTTTTCTGCTGGAGACAGCCTCTACAGATTATCAGGATCCTCAAACCCTCAGTGCAAGCTTGTTTGTTAGGGTGGCAGGTCATCACATGGTCTCTGAGAGCTACCTCCTGGACATTGTGGTGCACATCATGTTAATGTGCATTGATTCTTTGTTTGATGCTGTGTTTGGTTTCTCTGATATATATGCCCCTTGTTTCCTATTCAAAAAGCATACATGTGCTTTTCACACCACATTTGTGGCATGGCACCTGTCATCCAAGCTGTCTGGTCAAGAAAGGCACCCCCTAAACCCCAACCTCCCTAGTTACTGACTATGAAGCCACCTGGTGTTGACTTGTGAAACCTCTGTATTTTTCTCTGTTAAATGCTTTATGGTGGCTCCCTTACTTTTCTCCTGTCATCAATTCCTCTTGCCCCTATATGAACCAGGCCTACAGCTGGCAATTTGTAAATCTGGCCATCTCTATGCTGAGCTTTCATCATTAGCACACCATATTCCCAACATCCAGGCCAGTTATCACCTTCACATAAGAGTTCATTACCACAGTCATCAGAACAGCACAATGCACTCCAACATACTAAAAGCTTTCAGGCAGCTGCACAGTGTTTAAAACTTTCAAAACATGTAAAATCTCTGATTGCAGATATTTTTGCATCAAAGCAATGCCCACTGAACCACTACAGTAAGAAAACACACATTACTGGCTGAACAAATTGAAAAATTTGGGTGGCATACTCATACAAAACTTGGTACTCTTGCTTGTAATAAATAACAACAAATCACGAGCTGGATATACTTACCAGCTGCTCTTTTGGTGTGCCTCTTCTTGTCATCTGGGAAGTCCTCGCCACCCATAATTGCAGTTTATGTGTACCTTTTTATCAAAGAATACAATCAGCCCTGGAAATCAAGCATGACATTATCAATTCTTTAGATATTGGCTTCCCATGCCCCAACATTGGTGGCAACAGTGCACAAAACTCATTTAGTGCATTCAAATTTATGACACATGTTGAAATTTGTGTTAAAATATCACTGCTACACCAGAAATGCTTAGCACAGCATGCATGCTTTGAGGCTTGGCCCACTAGATAGAAGCTACACCTGCACCTGTCACCCTCACGTCTTTGTACTACAGTTAACTAATCAAACTGAACACTAACAAACTGTCACGATGCATCTTTCTCGCTTCACTCTTAAAACCACCTCAAAAATGCACCACTAGTAGAGTGGTTGAGTTAGACAGCCATGAACCACTGAAATCTGTTTGAAAAAGGAGCCATATTACGCTAAGTTTCGACATTTCGACGAAAACACGAACCTGTTCCGGTCTCAAATCAGTGCAACCAGCCAAATCATACAATTCCAAATTTCAGTGAACCCTCAGCTATATCACGTACCTGCTTTTGTAATGCCTACAAACTAACGCATGGCATCAGAAACGCTAAGCGCCAGCGTACCACGTGAAGACGCACACGTGGTAAAACAAGATTGAGATATCGCGTCCCGGACTCAAGCGTCAGTCCGAATGCCTTAGTCGCGCCATCTTCGTATCAGTATATTTTGATGGCTTTGCCGTTTAGCTGTAAGCGCAGCAAGCATAGTAAACAAAAAGCAGACGGTTGGCCATGGGTTGAATGTATTTGACTGGGAATGGAAATAGTCAGAAACGCGTGAACGAATTCAAACCAGGGGGGGGGGGGGAGGAAAAGCAAGCAACAATTCATCTGACCCCTCCCTACTTTTCCCCTCCAGACCTCGACCATTTCATTTTGAAATTTGGTGAAAATGGTGATTTAGATAAGACATTATTCATATCCTTATTCCTCGTACAGTAACTAGTAAAATGAAGAGATAGATGTGATGTGTGGGCTAAATACCTTTATCGAAGCGGGTATCAGTGGTTCCTCATGATCATCAGTGGTAGGCTTTGTTAATACCAGTAGTCAATAGCGTGCGTTGTCTAGTGATATTTGTTTCGAGAAATGAATGCACCCGAAATATCACATCGATCTCTCCATTCTCGTGGTTTCTCTACGAGAAATTAGGCTATTATTACTGTCCTATCTCTATGCATAGTGTTACTCGCAACTGCACTTTTTCAAGGCTATAACACATTTCGGCTTCATACACACGGACGAGTGAACTTTGACACAGTAGAAACGCATGAACAATCAACATAACATGGCACATCCGGCTACAATTCGATCAGCATCAAATTAACAGCACATTAACAACAAATTTGATCCAATTTCAACGCATAGAATACCCTTTATCACTGTTATTTCTCCTACACACCGTGCTGTTGCGTTATACACGCTTAATGACATTTAACTTGACACACAGGATGCGATCGCCCAGGTGGCTGACGACGCGAATTACCCTAGGGTGTGCGAAGACCTGATCTTAATGCATGCAGGTTATCTCACTGCGATAGCCCCTCCCCAACTCTTCTCCTCCCACCCCACTCCCCGCCCCCCCCCCCCCCCCCCTCACACCCTCCTACCCTCCCTTTCCTCAAGACGGTCAGTTACCCTGCCTCCCCACGAGCCGAGAAGAGGCAGATAATTATGTCACCGAGATGTTCAGGGGTAATTCACGGCCAGAACGAGCGAAATCTGCTCGGCTGGTCCGTTACCATGCCGCTTACCTCATGACGCGCTGGACAGTTCAAGGCGGTCTTTTACTGTTCAACAGCTCGGTCAAGCGGGTCCACTTGTCGCAAAATATGTTCATCTTGTTTGTGACGGTAGCTATGTATTTTTTCAGCCCTGATTTAGTGTAATACGGCTTTAACAAAACCCTGCGGCTCTGGGCGAAAATCAGAGATCCTATATTCATATCCATATAGGATTTACCCAAAACAATGTTCATAAGCACTGCTCCCGAGTGCAGAGAGTGATTGCCCTCGTAGTGACCCAGGATCACGGACTGCATGGTAAGCCGGATTTGCAAGGCTCGCTGTAAGTCGGCCCAAAACTTTCAAACTTCAGTACAGTGTCAAAATGTGTGCGAAATGGTCTCGCTCCCTTCTGGACATTTCACACATTCGTCTCAATCGCGTATCCCGTACAAAGCAAGGCGAGTGTTCGTTGGTGGTATGCGGTGCAAAATGCGGAACTGAAGCCACCTCAGCTCGAAATCCTTTGTTTTGTGTACGCATGAAAACATACGATTCCGATTAAACGTCTCAGGGAGATTTAGTTCACCTCCCCATTTTCTTTGCACTTTTTCAACATAAGTCAATTTAGGGTCTATTTTAGCAAGATAACGTGAGAGCACTTGGCGCTTTTGTTTATCTTCATAATCTGCTCAAAACAAACCGGCAGATTTGTGTTGATATTTGCGGTCTGTATTGTAGGAGCGCTGCTTTCTGTTCTTCGTGCAGCTTTGATCACAGAGCATATCATAGAAGAAAGTTTGCTAAATTATATTGGCGTCGTAGCTCAGCTCCTGCCTTAAGCCTTCGTCGCTCAAGGTCGCACAAGTCGGCCGCCGTCACAACACCGTGTCTGATTATGGTCTGTTTTCAAAAGTAATTGCTACGTTTAGTGTGCATGTGTTTGTTGAGCCAAAAAGTTTTGAACAAATTGCCCCTCGCTTCTCGAAGGTTTGTCTTTGAGGCTTTTTTTGTACCAGGCGGCTACTACCTCGAACCGACGTTTGTTTTTATGCAGCACGCGCATCATAGACAGGTCGCCATTGTAGTGAAAGATTGTGACGTCGTTATCGACAAATGATTTTGTTTGCAGTGTAGCATTCCATTTGCTTCTGCGTCCCGTGTCGAGTGCTCTTCTTACCCACGCTCTCATCCGACCGTCGTCCTTGTCCGTCGATCATGACCTCGTCCGACCGAACGCTCACGTCTGGAAATTTCAGCTTTCCGCACTGCCGAGCGCTTTTCACTGTCGATTGCTTTATCTTCTCTGCCTTGCCCCAGAGAAATGAGGCATCAAATGTTCTATTTGTTTAATTTGCTGCGATGTAGACTTTTCGAAAAATGACATGACGTGGATAAGCTGCGACAGCGCCTCAGACCTCAAAACGTGAGCCTTGCCGGACGGCATGAGCTCGGGAGAAACCCAGGGGTTAAGTTTTTCGCTCGCATTTTTTTGGCATCGTACCTTGTTTCAGCAAACTTTCACTGTTCGGGTCGATTTTAAGACCCAGGTACTGTACTGAACCATATTCCCACGCTACACCTAGGTCTGGGCATATGCCAGACCGATTACGCCAGTGCTTCCAATCCACCGGGCTCGCGTTTTTTGTGCATTTAATTTTAGGCCAAACACACTGCATAATTGAGTAAACAGGCTAAAGGTCTCTCTCAGCCGTTCTGCTTGGCCATTCATCACTAGTAATCTGTCATCCGCGTATGCAGGAAATCAGGAATAGGCTACAACTTAGAGGGCATCCCTGTCTCTTGTCTCTCATAATTTGATACGGTAATGACATCTCAACGTTAATTTATATCAGCGCAGAGCTAGAGGAGTTATCTTCCTAGTAAGATATGTTGGTCTACTTAAACGTGGAACTCTAAAGCAAATTGTTCAGCAACGTATTTTAGGTTTCCCAAATCCACGGAGTCATAATATGACACCGACGAAACTGTACTGCAGACAAACGCTGTAAAACACCCTCGCTTAAAGTGCGTGAAAAGGGCATTTCCGTATCGAGCCGTGGCGGCATGGAATCGCCTCCCTGCTGCCATGAGCCAGTGCAAAAACTTTAATGAGTTCAAGGGCAAAGCAATGTCTTTCATAAAAACTTACCTAAATTGACCAACTGACCATGACGTGCAGGTGCTGATTGCATCATTAGTCGCTCATGTTTTATAACATCGTATGTGTGTCGCTGGCGTTGCGTCCCATTTGCACGTGTCGCGTGTTCTGTTTTTATCTATGTGATATGTACTGACGCGGCATTAGAATAGCCGCTCGCTGGATTTCGCCAAGGTCCGCAATGATAATAACAGTGACTGCATGTGACTGCATAGCCATAATATGACTGCACTACGAAAAGCATATCATGCTTTTTGCCAATCACAAAACAAAAGAAGTCCCGGCATTTGGGTTTTCTGTGTGGCTTTCAGTAGGTCCAACATCGTTCCAATATTTTCTCCAGTGCATCTCCATTTTGTGAATCCCGTCTGGTCCTCACTGATTAGTCCACGAACCACTTCCCAATGCGTCTGGCTAGTGTTTTGTCAAAATTTGTGAAATGACTCGAAGAGGCTTATAGGTCGCAATGATTCCACCATGGCTTGATTCTTGCCCTTCTTCGGAGTGAGAATTGCTACACTTTTCTGCGGTGCTGATGGAATGTGGGCATACTCGTGCATTTCTCTAAAAACGGCACAGGCTGTGGTGTCCAGTTCCTGCCAAAAATTTTTTTTTATAAAAAGGCACCGTGTAACCGCCTGGACCAGGACTAAGCAAGCTCTCCATGGACGCCACAGTTGCAAAGAGCTCTTGTTCTGTAAGAGGCCATTCCAGCTCCTCGGCTTCCACGTTTGTCATGACACGGATACATGAAATGAATTCGCTTGAAGCGTTGTGCGCCGATCGCTTGCATAGCGTTTCAAAACAGAAGCGGCATTCTTCTTACATCTCCGAAGTGCATTCTGTAGTATGCCTGGCTTTGGTGTGATTTAATATCATTGACCTAAACACCGTTTGCCCACGCCCGTGGAGGCGTTCGTTCGGCCCGAGAAAGTTAGCGATACCGCGCCCCGCAAGGTGTCGCCACCATGCCTGACGACCAAGCACACTCCGACTGGTAATGTCTCTTAGAGTGTCGTCTCGTTCTTTTTTAGCTCTGGAAAGGCATGGAGCTGTGCCAGTATTGACTGGTACGTTAAGTTAGATTTTGCATCGTATTAATAGCGTTCTTTTAATTATTTAGCGTCTCTTCCCTCTTTTTATTCTTGCGAGATGAATACTGTATTGTCCACCCATGGAATACGCACTGTAATGTCTTCAGGAGCAAGCATGCTGTTATTCCTGTCGAGTTATCTCGGATAATTTCAGCCATTTTCAGTCTTGCCGACTGCAGGTTAACACCGTCGAGTAACAATAAATTATTAAACTTCCAATATGATCTGCCCTGTTCAGATTTGTTGACATTCAGCTCAGCAACGATCATCCTATGAACGGGCAGAAATCCGTAAACGATTCCTGCTGTAGGTGCTCTAGCCTGGTGAAGAAAGAAGCCGCTAATCGGAACAAAATCAATCCTATCTTCACTTAGCGGGTTTCTTCGCTCATACGTGTACATGTGAGCTTCAGGGTTCAATGACCTCCACATGTTTATCAGGTTTGTTCGCATGAATTCTTCGACTGTCCGTTTTGATTCGTCGTTGTTGGCTGACTGCAGCTGTAAGCCTATCGATCTCCACGTCTAAGCAGAAGTTGAAATACCCGCCCTATATGATGTCACCAGCAGATGTCACTTCTTCGCACTTGTCAAGCAAGGTGCGAAGTAGCTCGAGCTGCCTGTATTC